CTCTTTCCCCAGGCTCAGCGGAGTCATGCAGGGTGGCTGGGAGCCCTGCACCTTTTAAACCCCCAAAGCACCAACCATCACTGCCTTCTCATCGCCCCCTCTTTTATTTATTTTTAAATATATTTTTATTGATTTCAGAGAAGAGAGGAGAGAGAGAGAGAGAGAGAAACATCAATGAGAGAGAACCATTGATAAGCTGCCTCCTGCATACCCCACACCAGGGATGGAGTCTGCAACCCGCGCGTGTGCTCTTGGCCGGAACTGAACCCCAGGCCCTTCAGTCCGCAGGCTGCCACTCTATCCACTGAGCCAAACCGGCGAGGGCCCTCTTCTGATTTCCACAGTTTCTAAGAATAACACGGTGTTTTTTATTTTCAGGCATAAAATGCCTGCAACAGCTGATCAGGTTGCAATTTTCTAACAGCGGGGCCTTGGGTGAGTTATGCACCTCTCTGTATATTATTTTCCTCCTCCCCCAGAAAAAGAGATAAAATAAGACCTTCCCCGGCCCTGAATGTCAAAGAGCAATTGTATGTTAGCACAGCAAGTACTGATGCAGGCTCCACCTGTATCGGGAAGACCCCTATAGGGGTGAATGCAAGAATCTCCCTTCAATGCAAACTCATGGAATGCCACCACAGCCCTGGGTCATTCCTTCTGCAAACTTGAGAGGCGTCCAATGGTGCTGCCCCCGAGCCTCTGTAGTTAACCTGTGCTCTCGGAAATGGGAGCCTGGCTTTGTTGAAAAGCCCTGACCTGCACTGACCAGCTCTGGGTGTGCACAAAGTCCGATGGAACTCAGAGCAAGCTGGCTCTGGCAGGCTGACCAGGGCTGGTTTGTCTCCTAGAGGGAGGTGATCTCCTACAGGGTGGTCTGGTCTCTTTAAGAAAGAAAAAAAAGTTGCCCAGACCAAAAAAAACAAAACAAAACACAACACAACAACAACAAAAAAAACACTCAGCAATACAAACCAACCAAAAATGCCAGGAATGCAAGCTCTGCCAACCAAATAAATAAATAAAATGTGAGATGCTTTATAATAGCTGGACACGATGCATTTCTCAAGCCTGCATAACTGAAATACCCTACTTTTCCATCCGCCCTGCAAATGTCCTGGTGGCCTTCTAGTCTTGGTGGCTGTTTGGATCTGAGGTAGCATTGGCAAAGCCTGTCATCCAAAGTAACTAACGGACCCTTGTGCCTTTAGCTCTGACAGGCAAGACCTCGCGATCCTCTGAAAGTTACCCATCTCCCTGTGTGCTCTCTGGAGATCTCCACTAAGCAGGAGAAGGCGGTCCCTTTAACTGTACTCTTCTCAGACCCAAAGAGGTACAGACTACAGCGGTAGTCCCCAATCCATCATTTCAAGGGCCCCTGAAAATTCTACCCCAATCGGGGTCACTGTTTTGTTGACTTGTTTTCTAGTTAACTGTTCAAGAGAATGTATTATGGGTCAGGCACTGTTTTAAGAATCATAGGTTTGCACACATTTGTATGTTTATTTCTCATGTCCACCCATGAGGTAGAACAATGACTACACTCATCAATGTAGGAGCTGGAGCACAGAGAGATTAAGCCATTTGCCCCAAGTCACACAGCTAGGAAGGGGCAGAGGGGGGATTCCAACTCAGACAGGTTGGCCCCAGAGCCCCAGCTCTGAGTCGCTGGGGTCCTTAAGTCACTAATGAGGTGGCCCGTGGGTTAGGGGTTGAAGCACAGCGAACAAGGAATCCTGGTAGCCTGGCAACTCTGCCTCCTCCTTGTCTACACTGATGGAGATACACAGACTGGTGAGAGAGATGGGGAGAGGGACAAAGCATCTTCCTATCTCTAAGGTCCCCAACGGATGAACATCCTCTCCTCGGGCCCGAGGGAGGCCGAATCTTTTACTCTTGTAAAGTGGCACACAACCAGAATTAGGACTCTTGCTCTTCTCTGGGCATCACACTCCCCTCGCCAAGAAGGTGGAGGGGGAAGGAGACAAAAACGGAAGCAGCTTGGGAATGTATTTGGGTTGGCACCCAGCCTCCACCCCCATCCCCAGCAAGGTCCCCACCGGGAGGGGACTCCATGGACACTCAATCACTTTGTTTGTTTTAGCCCACTTAAGATCTGAGAACCAAAACTGATTTGGCTCAGTGGATAGAGCATCGGCCTGCGGACTGAAAGGTCCCGGGTTCCATTCTGGTCAGGGGCATGCACCTTGGTTGCGGGCACATCCCCAGTAAGGGGTGGGCAGGAGGCAGCGGATCGATGTTTCTCTCTCATCGATGTTTCTTACTCTTTATCCTTCTCTCTTCCTCTCTGTAAAAAAAATCAATAAAGTATATTTTTTTTAAAAAGAAAAGATCTGAGAACGCTGCCATCGCACATTACCATCAACAGGTTCTATCTTCCCATGCCGGAGGAAAATGCAAGGCCAGTGTCATTTTGAAGCACAGACATGTCAATTCGGGCCCCAACGCTGTCAAAAACGCTGGGGTGGGTCTCCATCCAGAACAAAGGTTCCTGATCAAGTCCTAGTCACAGACACAGGCAAACAATCCAGCCCTCCTGTCCCTCCCTGCCTCTGGCTCTCCCATGGGAGTGGGGGATAGAGTGGGGTGGAGAGAAGAGACCTAGTTTAACTATTTCAACCAGATAAGATCCCAAAACGAGTTTGTCTCCACACCTAAGGAACGAAACAACCCGGAGACTCGTCTGGGCAAATACTGAAGTCCCAGCTGTGGACACAAAGCCACGCTGCGAGAAGTTAAACTTTAAACACATGTCTCGTACGGTCTGGTGGGCAAGGCAAAGCCCCGCGCGGCCAGGGTCTTCTCCTCCCACAACAAAGCGGGCGGCCGGGCCCGCGTGCTTTCCATCCCTGCACCTGCACAAGGTTGAAGCCGCCACGGGAGGTTCTCTGCTGAGCTTTGCAATGGTAGCTCGCAGTACTGCTCGGGATTTAACTCACTGGAACTTGATTATTATAATCTACATATGTGCTTTCAAGTTTCTCCCTTTATTTCCCCCAAGGATGGTTCCAGAAATAAAGCTTCATGACAAAGAATGGCAGAAAACTGCCCGACCCCTGGGACCAGCCGAAATGTTATTGTATTGAAGGTTGCTTACATGGTTTGTTAACCTTTTATTTTTCTAAGAAAAAAAAAAAAAAGAGGGGCCTATAAAGGTGTTTATTTGAAAGGATGTGACTGTAACATTAGGCCTTCTTCTACCCATTTTACAGATGGGAAAACAAAGGGAAGTTATGTACCCAGGGTTTGTTTTTATCAACAATCCACATAGCGGCCTAATATACTTAACCTCTCTAAAATCTAACGTTTAATTACTTGAAAGTTGCTCCAGCTGTTTACTGTGATCTAAAACTTGGGTTGCCAGGGACTTTTTTTGTTTGTTCCCAGCCCCGGGGCTCCCCTGTAGGCGTGTGAACGGACGGACATAGCCACACCATACTCCCCACACGCCCCAATCATTCTGTGGACACGCGTATCAACAAGCCGCTCCAAAGGAAAAGACCTACTAGCTGCACATATGTCTCTGCAGGACACGACCCTTTCGCTTCTCGCCTCTATGGTTGGAACCAGCTGTGCCTAACAAAGCGTATTCTGGCTTCCTTGGACTCCCCCACCCCCCAAAGGCAACTGTCACAGGGACATGAGTTTTGAATTGTGGTTCTTCGTGCCTGAGAGGTCTCCGCGTCTAGTGGATCTCAGCATTGCTCTCGCCACCCACCGCAATCCTTCTGAGGACACACAAGCTAGAACCTTCTCTGCTTACTTCTCAGTGACCCAAACTGGGGCTGAGAGAGGACGTGCCCTGTCTTTACTGATATCTCTGAAAGACCCTCCAAGCGACAAAACATAAGGCTTGGCTTGTGTTGAAGGTGCAAGCGGATTCAGAAAGAGTTAAAATGCACGACTAGTTCTCCTGGCAGAGGCGAGGAAGGGGAAACCATGGGGAGCAGCAGCAAAACGAATGGAGAAGCTGATGCCCACTTACACACACGACTGACTGCCATTCATGATTCTCCCGAAAGCAGCGCCTTTTCCCGGTATCTCTCTAAATTCCCCTTCAACATCACAGATCTCAAAGAAGAGCTGGCGGTGCCTTATCCTAGGAGCAATCATCTTTTGCTTCTTAAGCAGCATTTATTCCAGGAATAATGGAGTGTCAGGCTCCACAAAACTGCTCAGCACCAAAAAAACTGTGCCTAAGGCAACATGAGATTTCTTTCCCAAGCTTTTCTGCTTAAAGTCCTTCAAATCAAAGAGGAGGAGGCCACTGCCACCCACTAAATAACTTAACGGAAGACTCAAAGTGGGGTGTTGGCATCTGTAGTCCCAGAGGGCAGATGAGAAAAAAAAAATGGCCAAAGTGAGTAAGCTCCATGAAAAGCATCAGCGTGCTTCCCGAAATGAAAATGTCCATTTCCACTCTCCTCCCACCTCCTTGTCCTTTAGCCAGAAAAAAAGAGGGGCTAGGAAGCTAAGGGACCAGTGACAGGGGAGCAAGACATCTGAACCGGCCCGGGAGGGCCAGCCAGTGAGACACCTTTCCCCCTCTGACTGCCCAGGACCCCCCCCCATCCGGGTCCATTTCTGGGGGTTGCAGAGTCGGAGCATGATGTCCTCTGTGGGTGTCCATTCCCCAAACGTGAAGGGAGGGGAAAAAATACAGAAGGTTCTTGCTCATTTGGAAAAAAAAAAAATAATACAGAAGCGGGAATGGGGGGTGCTGGACACTCTATAAGCTTTTTCCCACTCTCCACAAAAAAACACAGCTGTGAAAATAAATACCACCCCAAACCTGGGTCCCAGGCCACCAACAGTCCTCTCTCCTGCCTCTTTCAACTGCCACAGGCATCGCCCGCTCCCCGCTCGGCACAAATGCACAGCCTGCCGAGGACATCTGGGGGCGCCTGGGGGGAGAAGTGGAGGAGAGACGCGGACCCCCCAGAGCTGGGCAGTGCGCCTCTGGGCAGTCGCCACTCACTCACCCGGGGAGGGGAACAGCTCCAGGTCCACTTTCTCCGTCTTGATGATGGTGAGGGTCGGCTTGAGATCCACGGCCGCCTTCATGGTGCCAGGCGCGAAGGGCGGCAGGCAGGGTGCTAGCAAGTTTGCTGTGATTCTTGTTGTTGTTGCTTTTTTTTTTCTTTTTTAACGGGAATCGTCACGGGGAAAAAGGGACACAGGAGCAATTCGGTGTTCTTCCCTCGAGTCTCAAATTCCCGTGTCTTCCCCCGCCCCTGCGCCCAGGAGGTGCGCGCCCGGCAGTCCCAGCGAAGTTGGCACTTTGCGGGGCAAGTCGCGCGCTCGGGTCCCGGGATCGCCCGCTCCGCGCCGCTCCCTCCGCGCCCGCTCCCTCCGCTCGGCCGCCGGCCGCCTCCGCTTCTCCGCTCCTCGCCGCCGCTCCTCCCCGGAGCTGCTCGCCGGTCCTCCTCCCGCGCGCGCTCTCCCCTCCTCTTTAGGGCGTTTCTCTCCGCGCCGAGCCGGGCGCCCACCGCATCCCCTGGACCTCCGCGGGGGGGAGCGCGGGCGGGGCGCAGGGCGGGGCGGGGCCGGGCCGGGCCCCGCAGCCAATCGCGAGCGGCCGTCCAAAGTGAAAGGGAGGTCGGCGGGGCTCCCGGCAGCCGGCGCCCCGCCCCGCACCCCGGACCCCGGGTCCGGCCCCGAGGAGTGGGCGTGGAGCTGGGTGCGCCTTGGGCACGGATGCGCGGGGCTGTGGGGCCCAGGCTGCGTGCAGAATCTCCCCGACCTTCGGGAAAGTCCCCCCTGATTCTCCACGCATTCTTGAGGGCTTGGTCACCCGCTCCGGCATAGTTTTGGAAGTGCGTGTGCAAATCATTCATTCACAAAGACTGACACACACAGGACGTGAGGCATGCGGGCGGAGGGAGGGCGTGCGTGTGAGCAGGCGCAGGAGCCCCGCGAGCCGGTGTCCCCGCAGGGGCTGTAGGAATAGCGGACTCCCACGGTTTCCTGAGCCAGGCAGCAGGACTGGTTTTAGGTTTTTTCAGAACCCACCAGTGCAATCAAGAAAAGACCCCACCTGCCCTTAATATAAGCCTCAATACCAAGGCAGCCTACTGGGTACCCCAACACAGAGGCTCAGGTGCTGCTGTTCTGTTGGGAGAGTCCAGAAAAGGGCCCCCCAAAAACTAGAATCAGGCCTGGGCTTCTTTCCATAAGCTTTGTTTTGCTTAGAGCTGCGCTGACGCCGAAGGGAAATGACTGTTCTGTCCCTGTCCCCCCCATGGACCCTTTCACAGGCTCTCCTCTGCGAAATGCAACTGACAACCCCCACTCAGCCACCACCACCAGAGGCCAGCGGGCGTCTCTGTGGCTGTGGATTTCTGGAGCCATCGTCCATGACATCATCCACTTGGGAAGACAGACACATCGGACACCCCAACGTGATCCCAAATATTTAATGATTTGCCCCTGATACATTGGTTATCATACATGGAGATCGCTGGTCTTAACAATCAGAAGATTTACAGGTACATACACCTAACTCCTATATAGAGACAGATAAGGCCAGACATTCAGATCTCTCTTCGAGTCACTAAAAGATGAAATATAAATTTTGCTGAGCACCGTTGGAGAAAAGCTATTTTACCTAATTGCTGTTGCCTGATTTCTAAGCATACGTTGAACCCCCACCCTCACCCCCACCCCCGCAACTTTGCCTGTCGCTGTTTTAACCTCTGCCTCCGGTAACTTTTAACACACCTGCTTCCTTTCCTCTAACCCCAGGTTCATCTCCTTAAAGCCTTCCACAGCGAATGGGGGAAGGAACTAGGAAGAGAAAAATAAATTGTGAACTTCCGGTTCAAACTGAAAAAATCATGCCCCCTCCTTCAGCAACCAGGGGGAAAATATGTGTATGGAATCATCTCAATTTGTGAAGGATTGTTGTCCTCCAGCTGTGTTTCCAAAAGGTACAGGCAAACAATGCCGGCCCCCAGATGACAAGAACAGGCAGTTCTGATCCCGGGGAAAAGCCGGGAAGCAGCTGATGAATGAATTGTGCATTCACACTTCCAGATGAGCCCCACAGAAAAGGATCGGAAACCAGCCCTGCCTTGCCCACTGTGAATGCATTAGCGGAAGAAACGGAGCAAATCAAGTGTTGCTTTGAGGAATTTTCTCTCATTGATGTTATCTTAAGAAAATGTTGGGTTTTGTTTTAACAAAACAAATTTTAGTATGAGTACTTCGGGATTTTCAAAAGCAGCTTCCTCAGAACAAGTCCTTGCTCTCTTCCCCAGTGGGGTCCTTAGCTTTCTTCTTCAGGCAAGCCTAGTGGTCTGCAAACTGTGGCTTGCGAGCCACATGTGGCTCTTCCACAAAAGACCACGGCCCGAGCGAGTCTGTTTTGAAGAATTGGCCTTAGAAGAAGTTTAAGTTTAAAAAATGTGGCTGTCCGAAGAAATTTCAATCGTTGTCCTGTTGATATTTGGCTCTGTTGGCTAATGAATGAGTTTGCCGACCACTGCAAATACTGATTCTAATACCACCCATCCCCTCTTCGCCAAGAGTCCTCCCTGATTCAGCTGCAAACACTTTCCACTCCAGCAGTGGGGAGATTTAGTCCTTCAGTTCTTCAACTCAACGTGTCCTCACCCTTTTCTAACCTATCCAGGCCATAAGCCAGAGGGTCCCAGTCAAGGAATGGGGTTGGGAAGATGGTCAGGTTGGGGGGATAGCCAGGAGTCACCACAGACCCCCCAAAAAAGTTACCTCTCTGTAAGTCGGTCATAAATATCATATTGGTGTTATCAGAAGTTAAACATCTAACCCTCTAGTTGAAAAATTTTTTGTCTAGTTGACAAAAAAGAGCCCTAGTATAGAAAAGTTAAAATATTGCAAGTATCCATGCGATTAACCTAATCAAATTTGATTAATGAAAAGTTTCTTCTTTTTTTAAAATATGTTTTTATTGATTTCAGAGATGAAGGGAGAGGGAGAGAGCAAAACATCAATGATGAGAGAGAATCATTGACCGGCTGCTTCCTGCACGCCCCCTAGTGGGGATGGAGCCCTTCCCTCAGGTGTATGCCCTGACTGGGAATGGAACCATGACCTCCTGATTCGTAGGACCAGCCTCAATTACTGAGCCACACCAGCTGGGCAAAAACGTTATTCTCTTTAGGACACAAGTAGATTTTTCTAAATGTTCCTTATGAACTTCAGATGCCATTTCTGTCTTGCCATGTCCTTAAAGACAATGCCTGGCCCAGAGCCTGACACACTGAAGATGCTCCATAAATATGTGTTGAATGATGAATTATCAACTTCCCGGTCCTGTGGGCGTCAGCTTGCCACAAACTCTCTCTAATTCAAAGATCGAGTGACTTTGGTATGTTATGGCTGTGAAGATGAACTTGAGAAACGGCAGTGACTCTGCTCCCAGATCTGCCCGTTCTCCCAAGGGGCAGGGGAAGGTGTCTGTTCCCCATACCCATGTCCCTCCAGGCCATTATGCCTCAGCTCCCCCCCTTTCTCCCACCTCCCCCCGCAGCCAAACGAGATCGGCTGGGCTAGTTGTTCCTAGATGGTATCTGATTGTTAAGGCATTCAAGACAAATCAACCGAGGACGTACTTTTTAGCTTTTGCTTGTCCTGTGGCATTCTGTTGCTCCCGCACTTGGGAGAAAACAGAAGTATATTTTTAAACATTCCTTAGACTTAGGGAATTACATCCAGCAAGGGCTGCAGCTGCTTAAGCCAGGAACGTTATGGCAGTAAGATCAAAAAAGGCTGTAGGAGCTGAGGGACAAGGGTGTGGAAGCAGACATTATTGTACCAAAAAAGAAGAAGAAAAGAAAGAAAAAAAGAAAAGAAAAGAAATAGTCACATTTTTTAATGAACTTCTTAAAAAAAAACAAAGTATGTAAAAAGGAAAAAAAAAAAAGTTGTCAGTTATATTCCTCCTTCAACCCCACCCCAAATTTAACAAAAACAAATATTAAAACACACCTAATCTCAAACACAGCAAACCGACTCCCCTCTCCAGAAGTGTGCTAAAATAAGTCGTCTATTTCCCTGAATCTTGCCCTTCCACAAACCTGAGCTGGATCTCTGAGTTTCGAGCTAACGTGCGCTTTATTAGAGGTAAGTACAAAAACACGCAGACCACTAACGGCTAATCCAGAGCGAGCTGATGACTCACAGATGTTAATTTACCAGTTCTGAGTGTAAGATTAAAAAAAGAGAGAGAGAGAGAGAGAGAAACTCCTCGATTAACAACCTGTCTGAGTTTGTGGTTGTTTTTCTCTGAGAACAGGCAACAGTCTCTGACACAGAAACAGGCTGCGAAGGCTTAACTGGAAGGCAGGGCTTCTCTGATAAGTCAGGCCATTGAAAAGCACGGGGCAAGAGAGATGCCTGGGGCTCCCGTGTGCCCCACCACCCAGCAGTAATAAAATGGAAAATCAGAGACTGGGGGGTGGGGGGATGGTTTGAGAATAACTCTCTTAATTAAACTCTGATGTCAAAGGGCCGTGGGGTCAACCCAAGAACCCGAGTGGGGGGGACCCAGGACTCACTGCAGGCTGGCTCTGCGACCTCAGCACAGCCACTTAACCTTCTCGTGTCACAGCCTCCGCTCTGTTTGGGGGAATAAAACCAGCCCTGGCTCTCCCCACCGTGGAATACAGACCCATTAGCTATTGTTTAGACGGTACAATAAACAATGGGCGATAAGAGGAGCTGCAGTTGGGAGGGAAGCAGGAGGGCGGAGGGATGGGCTGGCGCGGGAGGACGTGGGGCCTGTTGGCCGGGGAAGCTCTCCATAGTAAAACCAAAGGAAGACGAGTAGTATAAGCTCTGGACTAAGACTCAGGTTCAAATTCCAGCTCCCCCAACCTAACCAGCTGAGTTAGCCCACCTCAGAACCTCCCTGGGGGAAGCAGGGAAAATCATAGCACTCACCTTTTAGGGCTGTTTGGAAGATTCCATGGGAAAATGCATGCAAAGCAATTAGCGCCCTGTCTAGGTCAGTACTAGTACTCAGTTATTATCAAATCACTAGAGGCCCAGCAAATCTCGCGAGACTCAGACCTGCTGCGCTGCAGGACCCATCAATGTACCTACTGGTGGCTGGGCATTTGGTCATTACGGCATTTTGGTCACTGGCCGTTTATAATATAGAAGATTGTGACTGCTGTTAAGCTCCGGTATAAGGTGGAACATTTGAAAAACCATGTTACATCTCTTGGGGGAGTGGGCTTTGGCAGAGAAACCTAGACCCTCAGGGAGAATGACCACATTTCATTTAAAACTCTCCCCACATGCCCTGGCCGGTTTGGTTCAGTGGATAGAGCATCCGCCTGTGGACTGAAGGGTCCCGCATTCGATTCCGGTCGGGGGCATGTACCTTGGTTGTGGTCACATCCCCAGTTGGGGGTGTGCAGGAGGCAGCTGATCAATGTTTCTCTCTCATCGATGTTTTCCAACTCTCTATCCCTCACCCTTCCTCTCTGTAAAAATATCAAT